TAATATGAATTTGATGTTCAATAATTTAGTGTTGTAGTCTACGAAAAATTATAAAAAAGAAATAGAATGAAATTTCCATTATTCTGACCCTTATTAACCTTATTGACCCTAATTATTATTATTAGTTAGTCATATTTTCAGTTTTGAAATTTATCATAAGTAATTTTAGTTTATCATAAGTCTCTAGCACAAATTGATCTATATATTTCTCTCATTTACGGGGAACAAGGAATTTTTTTAGGGTAATCTTAATATTTGAGGTATTGTTAAAAAAAATTAATCCTACGAGAACTGAAAAAAGCGGCAACAAACACAAAAGAACTTATAATAATGATATCATAGTAAAATTAATACTTTGTCAGTTTTGCATCGAAGCTGAATAATATAATAATATAATACTATTACATGTTTTGATAAAAAATTAAATTATAATAATTGTTTTATTTATTGTAATAATTTTTTATAAACTCATCGAACATCAAGTAAAAAATTTTAAGCATTATATTTAGATCGTAAAATAATTTTTGTGATTATTAATTTGATAAATAAATGTTATTATGTATTTAAAAAATAGTTTTGTTTTAAAAATTTTGAAGTTATTAAAAAACAAAAATTAAAGGTTGAAGTTTTTTATTATATTATTTTTTAATTATTTAATTAGTTGATAACTTAAATCGATTAGTATTATTAGAAGCTAAAGAAATTTCAATATTCAGAATGTATTATGAAAGTAAGAGCGCACAATTAAGAAGAATGTTTTTTTAATCATAAAATGTTTAGTTGCACGTACTTTATAATATTAACAAGAAATGTATACCTTGGGAATCATTAATATTTTACGAGTTATTGCGAAGGCTTGTTGTTAGATGGATCACTTGCATTCACTCTATACAATATGTATATTGATATAATTTTACAGTTACGAATAGTTGTGTTATGTTTTCTAAGAATGAAGTTGAAAGTTTGACATTGATTTATAAAGTGTATCTTACTCGGAAATTAACTTGATATCAAAGCATAAAAAGTTAAAATAAAACAAGACACAAAAACATGATTGTATCTTAAGTGTATAAAATTTTTAAAATCCTTTTAATCAAACTTATATGTATGTTTTAAATGATGAAAGTTACTTACCGTAATCAAACCCGGACATAAAAATCCCACTCTTTGTAAATAATTAATAAATTATACAATAAAAATTGTTTTTTTCTTTGGTGAATGACTTAAATTATTAAGTAAAGTAAATACTTATAATCTACCATGTTTGGTTTTAAATAAATAAAATATTACTATATTATTATTAAAAATTTTTTCAAAAATACTCTCTTAAGTTTTTATTTTCTCTTCATAATAAACCATTAGTACACATATTTATTCAAATAGTTTATTGTTACAAAAAATAACTTTTTAATAGTTTTTTTTATAAAATACAAATAAAATGGTATATGTAATGAGATAAACTTCCAACTATATTTTTATTTAGTCTTATAAATAGTGTTTTTATTGACTTTATATCAAAATATACTGTATGTTTAACTTAATTGACATAAAATTACTATTGAGTTTCTTTTAAATAGCTGTCTTAATAGATATTGTATTTTAAGTAGAGGCTTAGTACAATACAAAATTCAATAAAAGAAAAAGCTTTAAAATATAAATTTATAAATTCTTAGAGATAAGTATCAAAACGTTCTGTTGTCATAAATCCAAATTCCATTAAAATGAAACATAATAACATCTGGTCTTACGAATCCCTTAGGTATGCACAAACATAAGCTATTGACCCTTAAGTATCGGAAGCAACCCTTAGGGTTATAATAAGTTGTGTACACAAGGTGAGAGAAAGTGTCATTGGACACTTAAAATAATCTATAATATTTCAAAGTACAAATGGATATTTAACTTTTGAAATGTCGAAATTACCAATAAATTATTCATATCATAGGCACCGTTACGTTTTATTTGTTACATACTTGTAGATTATTAAGATGATAGCCCAATTATTACAATGTAATCTCATCAAATTCTACTCAATATTGCTTTTTGTTATTAAACTGTTTGCATATTTTATAACTTTAAAATAATAATAATATTATTGAAACCTTTTTTATTTTATATTTTAATCAAATCATTTTAGTTTCTTAACTATTAATTTTAACGTAAAGTAGTTTTAAAAATTGAAAATCGTATGTTATTTATATAATATAGCGTTATTGAGTAAAAATATTTTGCATAAAAATAATTTCTAAAAAGTGTCATCTTATATTTTGTTTTAGAAAAATATTTAAAAAAATTATATTTTGTATAATTTTAAGTATTCTTTAATAAATTTTAACTTATTAATATATAAATATTAATTCTAGTTTTTACTATAGTTATAGACTGCATTAAAATCACTGGTCAGTGTAGCGTTATTTATTTTCAATATTAATAATAATTAATGACTTAAATCCTTTCAGTAAGTAGACCGTATACACTACAGCTCTCATTCTGAAAATTAATACTGAATCAAAACCACCTACATTGTTTATTGTTAAGTCATGCCTAAATTCCTGGAATTTGATATTGTTTACCAAGAAGGATATTAAAAAGCATTTTAAGTTTAATATCGCTTAGAAAAATTGATCAGAATTAGATATTTATTCAATTTATGATCATATTAATCAAGATTTCAATAATAAATAATTACATGAGATATGCTTTCATGTGACAAAGTGAAATAATGGTACGTTGGTGAAATTATGTACACCATATTTATGCATTAAAAAAAAAAAATGTGCCTAATATGTTTTGGTTTGAATTAGAATTATACATATTGTACGTTTTGTTTATGCTAAATTAATATTACTGATACTGATTTAAAATTAATTTTATTAAATTAAAGAAAAAAATTATGTAAAAAAGTAAATATTATAATAATTGAATCGTGTAGAATGTTTCCCAATTTATTGAAATTACCATTTATGAAACTTTTCAAAATAATGATTTCTAGTAAATAAAAAAATTACCTATCTAAGTAAATTTTTATTCTCTTTTGTTGTACATAAAACAAAAAAACTACAGAACTTTGAATATTTATAATGAAAATAAATATAACTTCTGCGAAAAGATTATTAAAAAATTCACATCAGAGTTTAATAATTAAAATAAATATCTGCGGAAATTTTTTTCGTAATATTTAATGCAACTTTTGTTTAATGAAGAAGACAAATCTTCTCCATTAAACAAAAAATCATAGCTGATATAGTTATGCTGATTGTTAAGAAACGGATTTATATGCATTTATTAATTTTATTATGTTATGTCTATGCTATTATATATTCCTACATCTAAGTTGCACAAACTTGGATTCCTTTAAAATGGGTAAAGCAAAATTTGAAAGTGATTATAAATCCGTTCCTTACTGATAGTTTAGTTCTTCTCAAAGTGTCCTAAATAGTATACATTTATAATAGCTGTCAGTTGAAATGATAATTAGCGGTAGGACATTAATTAATAGAATATATTATTATGTTAGTTAAACACAAAATATGTATAAACGGCAGACATTTCAACAAACTATTTCATAAAGAGGAATGCTACAGGCTTTAAACTTAAAGAGTTATTATCATACAGCGTTCATTTCTTACTAGACGGTATTCATTTCACTAAATTCAAAGATTTAATTAAACTTTTTAAGATTTTAAGAATTAAAATTTTTATTCTTTATTAGAAAGTTACTGTAATTTGATGAAAAAACAAAACATTTCATTTATTTATTAAGTCAATATTGATATGTTCAGTATATACGATCTTCCCATTTACTGGGATTAATAAATACCAAATTAAAAATTTCTATAAAAATTTGGTAAACGAAAAAAAAATGTTCATATAATTATAGTTATATAAGCGTTATCGAATTTTTATTGATTTAGCCCTTAATAGGTAAGATAATAGGATAGTTAAAATTGCTACTTACGGTTGATGATCACAAGTGCAAAAAGTAGTGATAGCAGTGAAGTTAATTTTATCAATTGACTAATTAGTCGTGATTAATTCAATTTTGAATAGCACATATAGTCACACTGTATAATACTTTTTCGTGTCAAATAATATAATAGTTGATTCTAAATGGAATTTCGTCTCTAACTCCTAATTTGAACTTATTAATTTTAATTTCTGAGATAATCACTAATTAATGAAAATCAGATTATTGTGTAATTAATTGTTCATAATGAAAAATTAAAACTTTTTTTCAAAAAATCTCATTTTAAACTTTAATGGCTTATATTTAAGAGGTACTTAGAAAATTTCTAATCTATATCTTAAGTGTAAGCCACTACACATGATCTTCAAAGTTGATTTCGATCGTAATTTTACAAAAATTTCCCAATAACTTTTCTTTGCTTAAACCTATTATATAAATTTTTTATGATAGAAAATTTTACAAGGATTTAAAAAATTTAATTTTTATTTTTCTAACATCACTAAATGCTAAAATAAGTGCTGTTGATAGTAAAAAATTTGTAAAGCTCCTAGTTTTCATAATATTATAATATTGCTATACAAATTATTTTTAATTCTAAAATTAAATATATTTTAAATTAATTTATGCACAATCTTATATAGTTTTTGATGCTGAAAAATGGTTTTATTCGATTTCATGTATCATTATTTTTTAAGGTAGTGAGGTTACAACCCAACAAATAATTTAAATATACTAGTTTATTCACGTTTATTGATAAATAACTCCTTTAAAATTGCTATAGGAGTTTTAAAATTATATTAGTTCACAAATTTATTTAATATTTATCGACTTTTATTGAACATTAGTTTACTATTCTATTATTGTTAGTACTTAGACTCCTCAGTATCTAGTTTTGTTAGAAACATTAACATATGCCCTTCTAAGTTGATTTTGTTTAAGATCAAATTTGAAATTCATTAATCCTTAGCAAATATTTGATGTTAAATATTACACTGTTTTTTTGAAATTTAATTAATTTATACATTTATTTCAGGTGAGATAGTGGCTTGGACATCTGTGATAGTGGTGACTGTCAGTTTGTATGTAGAGTGTTATATTGAAGACTTTTGTCCAAATTGTATTCTCTACCAAGATTCCGCAGAGGTGAGTGTGAATTACTATTAAATATACTATTTAATCGAGTTGAATTCATTCGATTTCCATCGTTTGGAATATTTTTGTTTTTTATATCCTCATACACACATGCACTGTTTATATGTATATATTTGGCAATGCTTCAACTCACTGTAAAAAAAGGCGTGTCTCATCTGAAAGTAATTCCCTGATGGAAATCACAACTAAATGGGAATGACTTGTAAGTGACGCGAAAAAAATAGGACATCTTTTTATTAAAAAAAAGTATATATATATAATATATTTGATTCATATTCGATCTATTTTGTTAGTCGAGTAGATACTATTTCGTACATATATTGAAAAAATCTTATAAAACCACCGAAGCGTATATTACCAAATTTTTACATTGTTAGATAAATAAATAATAAAGTAATATATACAGAGTTTTCAATAAGTACGAGATACTTTTTTTATTGGTAACTATTGACAATTGTTTATTTTCATAAAGAGATAAATTGTTTTGTTTTAATAAATTCTACAATATTATGTAGTTCGATAATTAATTTTCAGCTTTCGGTGATTAAATCCCTTTACTTTAATTTTCTTAAATGGAAACTCATATTTTCATTTTAATAATTTTAAATGAAAAAAATACAAAAAATTTTGTTTTTATAATTTATCTTTGTCTAATTATCTTTAGGATTTAAAATAAATATTCATCATTAATTTGGTGTTCACAAAACAGTAGGTAGCAATAATTTGTTTTGATAATCCATCAATTATTTATTATGTTAATTATCAAAAAAAAAAAATATTCCATATCGCTATGCATAGGTCGGTCGACGATATATGACAATAAACTTGCGTTGATTAGAAGACTATATATAGGTATTTCAACAGTCATAAATTATTAAGGATAAGATTGATGTAACATGTATAAATAGTAGAATAACAAAATATGAATTTAAATTACATTGAACCGCAAGCAGAGTATATCATTATCAGTATAGGCTACACCCACTCACTCTTCATACCCTCTCAATGTATTAAAATTATTGTGAATTGATAAACACTTGTATCAAAATGTTCAATATCTCATCAAAATTTTTTTAAGAATGTTATGCTATACGCATTTGAGTTGATCGTTTAAAATTACATTCTATTCGATGTCTTCACTATTTTGTGAAATGGAGCAAAGATATCCATGTGTAATATTGAATCACCCGTCAGAGATTAACTACTGTTGGTCATTGAAAGGGTATCAAAAATCATGACAAAACAAAAAAAATTGTATGGGATTAGACCAAAGGCGCCGTAGAGACAAACCTTGTCACAAGACCGCGCACTTATGAATTAGATCGTGATATACTTCCATACAGGTTGACAACGTGATGTGTGGTTGAGGAAAACACGATACATGTGTCACCCCCCCCTAAAGCCACACAAACAGATGCTATCATTGAAAGAAGGTACTGACTGCTCTATACGTTCCACAGTGGGAATTTTGAAACACGGTCCCGTGTCAATATGTTCTATAAATTGAATCAATACCTTTCGAAACACAAACATAAGAAATGCACCTCTACACAAAAAAAAAAAAAAAGATTCTTCAGTATACTGGATAATAGCTATTTACTTGAAAATGTTTTGAAAGTTTGTACTACGCTCCAATTTTAGATTTCTTTTTATTATTATTTTGAATGAACTACAACTCAAATATACCTCAAGATATTACTAACTAAATTTTACTATGTTGTAACGTTGAGATCTCATGTTTGAGTTGAGTCGGATTAAGCTTTATAATTATTCATATTAAAAGTTAAACTCGATTTTTTTTAGAAAAATTTTTTTATGAAGTTTATAAAATAAAATAATTTTATCGTTACGATATGGTATTGTAAAACTGTAAAAATTATTGTAGTATCTGATAAAAAAAAAAAAAAAATGAACGCAAAAATAATTAAAATACTTATTTAATTATATTTAATTGTTTATATGGAATAAAAAAAAATCATACTCTAGGATAAAACTTACTTACATTACATTTATACAGATAATTATTTTAATGATAGCCTATTGATTTCTCTTAAAATTATTTTGAAATAAAAATTATTTACTTTAATTTTACATTTTCAACTTTAAATTGCTATAAATTTTTAAATAATATATGTATCAATACAGTTTATTTATAAATACTTTATACATACCCCTTGAATTTGCCATACTTATTTTTAAAATACGACTAAAATTTTCTCTTGTACCTTAAGCCTTAAACATGGGGTCTTAAAACTTGAAACATGCGTATGAAAAATAGTACATTTTCAACCTTTGAAACTATGTTAAACTGTTCAACATGCTCTTATATTAAATTAAAATATAATTACGTACATTAAGTTGAAAAAAAGTCGTCCCATAAAAATATCTTTTTTATGCATATGTCCGGCGTAGTTATAGTTTTTATAATTTCACTGTTACTACACTTAATTATTCATTAATAATTTCATACTAAATTTAATTTCTATAGGAATTTATTAATGTATTATACTTATTTTCAAAACTGTAATTAGGATTTATATAAGGAAATAATAGTTGAAATTAACATATTAATAAAATTCGATAATTCCTTCTAAATTTGAAACACTATCTATAGATTTGCATCGAATTTTTTTATTATGATAGTTATTTTAATCACTATCAGATGTAATCCACACGCGTCCCCACCGTACTGGGTATTATTTAAAGTGACAACATACATATTTAACTACCTAAAAAGAAAAATTGTTCTTATTAAGAAAAATAATGGATCAAAAGTTGTTATCCACCAACTTTTGACCCATTATTTTGTAAATTATTACTATTTACAAATATAAACTGAATGTTTGTCGATATGATAGTATTTATTATAAGATTACTAAACAAGAAATATATGTAATAAAAAAATATCAAAAATAATTTTTTTAACAATTATTATTTTAAAAGAAATCGAATGGCTTTAAAATAATTGCCGTGTATACTTCAGTAAAATTTTATTCTATTTTTTTTATATAAAATTTATTATAAACTAGGCTGATTCTTCAGTTCTTAAGGTTTATATTTTATTTGAGATAGTATAAATTATTATTGAATTATACAAAGTATGTTCAAAATAAGACATAAACTATATATAAGTATATAAATGACACAATACTTAGTTATAAAATTTTTTTTTCAACACTTCAAAAAATGTTTTTGAATGAGATTTTTAATTTAAAGTTGATCATTAATTTTAGCTCTAGCATAAAATTACCAAGCGGATATTTATCTCAAAACTTTCACTTTACTTCTAGACAATAAATCCACAACGGATATTAAAGCCAAGGCCCAATAATATATATTTTCATTAGTCCAGTTTCCTTAGAAAAAAATAGGATATTACTTTTTTAAAATATGATGAAAATCGAGTTACTTAAGTAGAGACATCACAACTTTATTATTAAAACATTTTTACTGAGTTATAGAATTTATACATATTTTCCCAGTTCAACATATCTGCAAGCATTTGGAATACGTTCTTTGTGGATTTTTTTAAATTTTATGTGCCGTATTGACATAGTATGTGAAAAAATTATTTTATCGCTAACTTTTAATGTGGTAGAAACTGAATCAAAATAATTATACCAAAATTATTGTAACTTTAGTTAACGAGAATTCCAAGTAATATATGTAAAATTTTTTCATTAAAATTTAATATTATCCTATTTTTTTAACATAATTTGGCAAATATAAAAATTAAGTACAAAATGTATATTTTTCGGTAAGTCATTCGAATCAAATTGAAAAACGACTATGTAAATATTATTTGCCGTCTATTAACTACAAAAAATATTACATTGAGATAACATGTTAAAGCCAATAGCAAAAATATTTTTAAGTACAACAATCGTGCTTTTTACAATTCCTCTTTTATTTTTTGATACGCCCGTTGGCAAGAACGTGTTGACTAGTCGTTACTTCCCTTGGGAGCTTTTTACAGTTGTAAATTAAGTGAAAATTGTCCCAAAAAGTATATGTAATCAACTATAAAACAATACTTGATTCTGTTAAATTCTTTTGGCATTATTTTGTCAAGGAGTTAAACCTGAACACTAATAATAAATGAGTCTTAATTTTTAAGTAAAATGAATTCAGTATTATGTAGTAAATAATCCACGAAAATATTCTAAATCTTAAAAAATGAAGTATTATAATAATACTGGTAAGCAAGTTGTAAAAGAATATACTAGTTTCACTGCTTTAGGCAGTTTTGCGAACAAAAAGTAATTTGTATGTAATTTCATTGTTGTTGGTCCAATAAGACCGAGTAAAAACGATAATAGCAAATAAAGGAACTGGCTATTTCACAGTAGATAAAATTATCTTAAATTGTACAACATCCGTAAACGAATGCTATAATACAACATGGGCGGGAAAATTGTATTTAGTTAGCTTGTAATAAGGGAAATGAAAACGTGTTCGAAATACGGTAATGTGCAACTTTTTTTATGAATGTGTTTGGAAAAAAAAGTTGGTTGTTCATACTAAATAACTAAATAAGTGTTGACAAAAAGAAATTCAAGTATCCAACTAACAACAATATTTTTAATCTAAAATTATTTTCTTTTAAACGATAAATTTTTTTGGTAATAATCAAATATTTAAAATGTATAACTTAAAATGATTACAATTACTCCAATCTTACATTAGTTTTGGATTACCAAATCCTTAATAATAAAATGATTTCACTATTAATGATAATATATCATGATTTATATTTTAAGTTTAAATCAATTTTTTTACGGAAAGAATATTTGTAATTTTTCATTTGAATTTTTTGTATAAATAAAACTTACTAAAATAACAGAATACTTAATTATATACGGATATAATTTAAATATTAAAATAAATTATGATTACTATTTATCTATTAAATGTGTTTATTTGACTTTCAAAATATTTTTTATTTAAATTTTTTTGTACGATGAATAAGTTATACCATAATAATATTGTGA